CTTCCCTGATTTAATAAAACAAACACTTTGCCCAACCACAACAGCTCCTGCCTCTGCCCCATTTTTGATAGAAAAACAGAAATCACTGCATTCTTCCAACAAGCAAAACCCCTTTTCACCCACAGAGCTCCTTACTGACCTCGGGGCTCCTGCCTACAGAGCCCAGCTGAGCCCTGTGAGGGGGAGCAGAACACGGCCCTCCCAGAGCCTTCCTCTCTGGAGTCTGCCTCTTGCCCCGCCGTCCGTGAGGATCTGTGAGATCTGTGTATGCTGCAGCCCCCAACAGCCCATGGGGAAGATGATTAACTGGGCTAGGCTGCTTTTATAATCTCAGAACAGTGGGTGCAACACCCCTGGTCTCTCTCCAGCACGCCTTTATTTTCCACCCCTGACAGGCAGATCTGACACTTTACCATCTTGAGGGCATCTGGCAGTGGCCAGCCAGGTTTCTCGTTAGACCTTAGAGCCATCCAAAACAGAAAAAAAGCCAAAATGACAACAAAAAACAACAAAAACACTGTTCCCAGGGAACTAACAGGAGGCTGGGACAGGGAGTCACATTCACCAAAACAAAAAAGTCTCCTCTACTAACCTGGTTCTAAGTATTTTCTTTCTTTTGCTCTTCTTTGAGGTAAAGATACTCTGAAAACCAAGCAGTCCCACACAATTCCACAGGCACTGGTTTTTTAACATCACCAGAAAATAACAACTGCAATAACAGCTCCACCTTTAACTAAGGGCCTCCTCATGAGACTGGGGAGTCAAGCTTTGCTCTGACTGATACCCCCTCATGGATCAGATGGACCTTGCATTGAGAGTTTCATTTGGTGGCTAATGTGCTTGGTCAAGTTCTGGATTGATATTTACCACATGTGGTTTAAAAGGGCCTCCCATGTGTGATTTGACTCTCTTGCCTTGAAAAACTCATTGAAAATCTCAAGGAATTAAAACTAAATAAAATTCCCCAAGACTGGTTCATACCTCAGGCTTGAAAATAATTGGACCAACTGAGAAGAATTTTGATTCTTTTTTAAATGAATATTTTGCTCCACCTGATCCAGCTGAAATCTATGTGACTGCAAGTTTCCTCAAAAGGTACTTTGAAGTGGAAATGAAGAAAGAACCTCTGCAACAAAAGCACCTTTACCACTCTCTCCCACACATTCTTCTGTTTTCTTTTGTTAAATGAAAAATCAGTTACCTTTCAACAGAGAGAATTGCAGTAAGTACCAGGAAAACCTGGAGACTCACTTTAAAAAAACAAAATTTAAGCACTTCTGGGAATTTTATTTTGAGATCCTAAACCAGCAATTCCTTAAGTCTCACAGAAAAGGAGATATGAAAGGGTATCCAGTCACGCCTGTACTCTGATACTGGAAAGCATGAGCAATTAAGCAAATGGCAGAATACAATGGAATCCATCCAATTTAATTTCTGACACCCCTTGTGCTTTTGTTTTTCAGGCTGCAAATCTTGAAGCCTGCTACATTTCAGAAAGCAGAAAGTTAGGGAAAAGAAAAAGTCCCTCAAAGCACTAACAGACTGCCTGCAGTCCAGGAAGATTCAAAGTGTCCAGATTTGAAAGCACAGGTAGAAGCTTGGAGGCTGTTTTAGCTGTGTGTGACTCCTTTAAACCAAACCAAACCAAACCAAACCAAACCAAACCAAACCAAACCAAACCAAACCAAACCAAACTCCCAACCAGTGTTCAAACAGTGAGGTCTAACTTGGTGTTGACAGATGAGATAAGCAATATCACTTAATGCTGGAAAGCAAGATGTATCTAAGTGTCTCTCAGATGAAGGTGGAGGTGAAATCAGCCATTACACGTCTTCATTCCTAATCTTCCCTCATTTCCTCTCCCATGAAATGCTGCAGCAGATTTACACCTCAAGGGGAAAAAATGCAAATAATGACTTCAGTTAGGCAACATGGACTCATGCAAAAGCTCTGTCTGTTCCCAGAGGAAGTCAGTTTACAGCAGAGAGGCATGTGCATCACTGCATCCAGGACACAGTAACATTCCTCCAGGGGACAAGCGCACAGATACTTTCTGCCACACACTCAGCACTTGACTATGAAGGCAGCACAGGCTGCAAAATGCACTTAAACTGGCAACCTCACAAAAATGATGGCATTGGGCACAGCAAAAATCCCAGTATTCCATTTTCAGGGGCTGGCACTCAGTGTTAGGAAGCACAGGGTGAGCACAGGAGCACTAAGTGCTCTTCCCTCCCCACCTCCAGCAGTCGCAGGACCCGGGTCTGGCTGAGCTCCGGCACCCAAGCCGTGATGCACTTCTAGAAGAGGCAGAGGCTTTGACCCCTTGTTTCATTCCAAAAGATGGCCTGTCTGTCAAAGGTGAAAATTTTTTTCTTTTTTATGCAGCTTTCACTGCTCAAGTTTCACATTTATTTAGCTGCCTCGTTCCTAAGAGACTTTAGATATTAAATAAAGGTTGGTGCCTCTGCTAGTATAAAATAGCTTTGCTCTAATTAAGCTATGAAAAACTGGCCCAGTTTTCTTATCATGAAAAACCTACACTGAAATTTTTGCTAGCTAGGGTGATAAAAAAGCTTATTAGGTAGTTCAGTTTCTAGGCTCTATCTGTCCTGGTCTTCAAACACCCACACTCATAACTCAGGAGTCAAAGTCTAACTGACTTTTCTGACTGTTCAGTTTTGCTCTTTATTTGTTGGGAATGTAGTTGTCTGCTTCAGCCAAGCTCTCAACTGATTTTTCCTCCCTGGATTACCTTGAGATAGTCCTTGAAAATGGGTAGTTCACAGAATAGAATAGAACAGGTATTTTTCATAAGGGAAATGGGACATTTGCAGATTATCTACATAGAATCATAGAATGATTTTGATTGGGAAAGACCTTTAAGATCACTGAGTCCACTCATGTTGCACAGGAAGGTTTTGTTATGGAGCTGTGTAAGAAAACAACGAAATGGTAACACATCAGGCCTCAAGCCCCTTGCTTTGCTCCTTCTCCCATTAAACAGCCATTTCTGGACAACAATGGGTTTGGTGCTCAAGGCACTTGCATCTGAGTGAGTGGGGGGCTGCCACGTTAAGTTGCTGTTGACTGACATGTAGGAAGCTTTCTGAAGACAATCCAGAACTCTTCCCAAACCTGATCATTTCTGAAATATAGCACAGAGAGGAAACCCAAAGCATCAACTGGTAATTTGCACAGAGGGAAGAAAACATTAGGGTTTTTTCCCCATTTGTTACCAACTTTATTCCACAGCTTTCCGACTGTTGCACTTCAGCTGCAGATCTTCAAACAGACCTAACTTCCTGCTCTGCAGTCAATTAAACGAGTCATTTGGTGCACATTTTGTGTGCACATTTTCAGGACTAGAGGCCTTGTAACCTGAAAAGAGGATTGTAGTCTGGGTAAACAGTTTCATCTTTAAAAAGAACTTGAAAACAATAAACACACTACAAAGACAAAATGCCTGTTTACCCAGAAGGAACTTCCTCAATTAGTGAAGCCTGTGATATAATTGTCAAAGCAGCCACTGAATGTCACTGCACCTAGGTTTGGCTGTAGGATCTGGATTTGAATTCTCTCTGCTTAGCTGCAATGCAAATCCAGGTTCCCAGTCTGGAGGCATTTGAGTAGTAGATGCTGTTGTGAAGTACAGGCATTTTCAAAAGTTTTCTTACAGCTATTAAAACAATAGAAAAGGAACAGATACTTCACCTCTGTAACCTAGAAATAATATTCCTTCTTGATTTTTTTTTTTTTTTTTCTGGGCATAGGATTATTTTTTTCTCTAAGAATTCTTTCCCAGGTCTTGCCTCATATGAAAAAAACATAGGAAAATGTTCCTGTAATTTGCTGATGTGCAAATATATTTTTTTGCCAGTAAGCAAAGTGAACTTGAACAAAAAAAATAAACTAATAAAATGAATCCCCTTCTTTTAAGGCATAAGGAATTCTTTGTAGGTTTTGGAATACAACCCCTCACGTTAGCTCTGAAAACTGTCTCTCTGTACAATCTCGTCCTTCTTGAACAAGATTCAAGAGCAAGTGACACAAAAGACTCTTCTTAGCTCGTGCATCAGCCTTTGTGAACTCCAGAAGACTTCTGGTCATCCACTGTTCTACAACTCAGCCTTTCACCACTTCTGTATGGAAACACAATGTGCCTTTACTGAATAGGGAGGGAAGCAGGGAGAGGACAGATTTCCAAGTCTTTCTGGCAAGACTGCCTCTGGCTTGCCAAAAAATATTTTAAGTTACTACCTGAGAGAAACAAAGCAGAGCCTCAACTGTTCCATGTACAGAAGATAGGTCTTCCTATAGGTGAATAAAGCTGAATATGCTGAAGAATGAAGAACTGCTCTGAACTCAAGGTGAATTCCTCCACTACCTCCTTCAGCACAAATCATTTCATGCTCTATTCCCAACAGCCATGACTTAGCAGAAGCAGCATCTTCAGCAATACCATGAATTACAAGTGGTTTCAGTGTCCTTTTCCTGATTCCACCAGAGACTGGATGCAGGGATTCACTCCTGGCAGCAAAGGGCACCAGCCATAAGCCACACACTTCAGTGGGCAATCTCCCATGGTTCTTTTGGCAACCTTCCTGGCTTCTGTACACAGGGTGGGAGCACAACAGCCAAACACCTTTCACAGTCAGCAGCACTGTTGCTATAGAGGAACAGACTAGCTCATGAAGCCAGAGGACCTGCTTCTTGTTCACTGTGCAGTGGACAAGCACACACAGACACCTCCAGACCACAATCCTGTTCTAGTCTTCATCCTACAGCAGATACAGAGCCTGAGGTGTTTACTGAAGAGCTTTGCCACATCATGGCACGCACAGAACACAAAATGTTTTACTCACCTTCAAAAGAGGGAAACAGGTCTTTCACACAGCAGGCTTACTCTGCTTGTAAGCCCTAAGACCAGTGTAACAGACTTGTCTTGCTAAGTGCCACCACCCTACTGAATCATTTTGGGCACTTGGATCAAAACTTACACAGTGTGTGCTGGAGATGATGACGGAGCTAGAGATGAAGCTCAGACCATCGTTCATGCTGACTTGAAGAGCTGCTTCCCTAAAAAAAATCAAACCACAAGAAACAAGTCAGGGCAGCTAGTCCACAATCCTCTACTAGATAATATCCTCCAGAACCCGGGCTCATGATGCACAGAAGAGCCTTTTGTGCAGGTTAATTCACACTGATGGTGCCCTCTCCCCTGTGCTCCACTGCCTAACTGACAGTTAAATAAACCAACAAGCACAAAAGACAATGTCAGAATTAGATACATATAAGAACAACAGAATACAGTGAGATGACATAGACTCATTTTCCCAGAGGCAAAGTAAATACTTGAGTATGTAGAAAAAACATACATGCCAACTTCTCGTAGGACAGGTGCTGGGCAAAGTAAGTAGGTATCTTCCACTACAAAAGGCTTCTCATCTAGAAAGAAGAAATACAAGGATTTGTTATCAGAACAGTAATAGAGGTCTTAAAGACCAAGCTTAAATAATCTTTTTCTTTGTTTTTGATACAAAACCAAGATCAAACACCATGTGAGAGAGAAGGCTGCTGCACAGCAGTTGTGCCAAAGACTGGTAGGTATGTTTTTAGCCCATGGAGTTACAGGGTAAATACAAGGTCAGAGCAGATACCCTGCACCTCAGGAAAAAAAAAAAACCTATATCAACACCTCCCATTTACCCCACTGAGAAAGATGGGGAAATGTGGCTGCTGATCCTCCTCCTCCATCTCTTTGCAAAGCCCTTGTGAAGACTGTGTTGTTTTCATGCTGCCACAGCTCTCTGACATCCTCACAGTGAAACATCACTCCACAGAGCCTTTGAGCCACAGCTCCTGCAGCAGGGCTGAGCACTGCTTCTCCCTCAGAGGCAAATGCCTCGGGGCAATCACAAGCCCTGCATGGCTGGTCACCCACATCTTGTGTGCAGTACCTTGGCCATTCCTAGAGCTGCTCTGTGCTCTACAGGTCTGTCCTGCCATACGTCTGAGCCACCACAAAGCTGAAAATAAAAAGCTTTGTGGACGATCCAAATAAATTGCCAAAGCCACTCTAGAGTGCCTGTGACACAAGGAGACCAGATGGAGTTGCAACAGAACACATATAAATGGAAATAGCTGAGTTAAGGCAATTGTGTATTATAGACAATTTTGCACTTCAAGACCGACTCCTCTGAACCTAAATTAAACACTCAAACCTGAATTATGCTATGATTTTAAAAGTGAAGCAAGACGAATTATCAGGAAGCTAATGCCTGGGAAACAGGATCATTAGTTAATGCTTTTCTTTTGCAGACTTAAATCAGAACTTTGTACGATAACTATCGTGTTATCCATAAGAGATGGAGAGATGTGGATCCCAAGGAACTCCCCAGCCCAGTTGACAGCTGACCAGAGATTGGGCAGAGTAGCAGGAAACCAGGCAGACAGGCTGGGTGGGTTTGGTCTTTTAGACTGGAAACCACACTTTCCTACAGAAGGGGCTGATTCTGCTGAATCAGCTTTTTCCAGAAGCATGTCACTGCCTCAGAAAGCTTTTCTATCAGCTGTATGTGTAACCACCTCTAGGGCCTTCTATCCAGATGCTTATAGACCTGAAATGACCTGTTACCAAGTATTATCAGCTTTCTAAAACTTTCCAGTTAATATTTCCATTTTGTTTGAAAGCTTCTCCTCCCCTTCCCTTTCGCCTCTCAAACATGTAGGTTTCAAATCTCATCTTCAATCCAGTCTTGAATCTCATATCTACCTATTGCAGAGTGGAAGAGGCCTTTATTCTACACAGCCACATTGAAACAGGAGTGCAGCTCATCAGCACCTCACATTGCTGTTTGAAACACAGACAGCAAACCTGGGGCCTTCAGCCATCTGATGTCTCTCCACAGCTGCACTGGCTCCCCAGGGTGCCCATAACACGGGCAACGTGGAAGCCAGGTCACAATGTTCAGTGCATCACTGGCAGCAACAGGGGAAGGAGCAAGGATAGAAACTTAACCAAGTTGTTTGGCAATCTAATGAAGAGCTGAACTATTCTGACAGTTTGGTCTTCTGTTTTGGAGGAAACTTGTGCAAGTTATAATTCCATTTGAGGTGCCAGTGGAAAGAGGAAAAGCCGTGAAGAGACACAAGCCAAAGAGAATGTGGCAACTTTCTCTGAAGTAATTTCTGCATCAGCCATGGCCCTTGTTCATTCTTCACTTGGCTGCTGAGATCAACTTGTTCACATGGATGCTGTCTAATGAATAGGAGTTCAACAGCAGTCAAGCACTATTGATCCTGGCCCCATCCTCAGGGGTTAGCTCTGGAGGGCTCACTCAGAAGCAGGGTATCGTGGCACATTTTCCTTCAGCAAGGTGTGCCATAAGAGATATTGACTGCAAGAGTTTCTCCCCTCATGCAGACTCACTAAGTCAAGCGCTCTTTCCCAGACATTCCTAAGAGAGGTTTCCACTGAATACAGAATTTTAGAAAGCAGTAATGTTGCCATAGTAATTCCTATCACACATTATGATCCCTATTTCATGCTGTTTCATACTATTTCAAACATATTTCTTTGCTTTGGCAGCAATACAGATTTCCTGACCTGCCTGAGGAAATAAAGTGGGTATTTTTTTTACACTCCATTTAAAAAAAAAAAGAAGAAAATGGTCATGAGAAGCTGTAACCTTCCCTGAAGTTTTCCTCATGTTTCCAGCTTCTAGTAAATCCCATGCCTACGTATATACACACTTGAATTTTTGGGTTACCCACAGCTGCTGTTTTGTTAAGGACTGTTTGACACAGGCAAACAGCTGAAAGCGAAACGTTTAACCAGCCACATGGCCTCCACACACAGGCTTGGCTTCTGCACGGTGGCTCACCTACTGAGAGCAGTGTCCAAGCTCCTGTGATCCCTCTAGGTCTCTGCTCCTGCTGTTGGCCAAGAAAGTACCATGTCATTGCTGTGTTCCCACAGCCCCAGTGCAAGAGCACATACGAACATTTCCACTCCACTAACCACTAGGAGCAGAAGTTTTTAGCACAGGGTATTCCTTTGCTAGCCCTCATTAAAAAAGAGGCAGACAAACAACAGGCATCTCAGGCATGCAGTGCAGTGACACAATGCACATCCCTCACTTCCCATGGCCTCCAGCACAGGCACTGGTTTTATGGGAAGCTTGCATCATGTACAGGCACTCCGTGTTGCAATGGAATGACCAAACCCACCAGCAGCATTTACCACTCTGCACAAGCAAGGCAGATGGACTGTGGTGGTGAATCTACCCTTGCAGTTCTGTTCTCACCCTGCTTTGTGAAGAGAATGTTAACTCCTATAAATTTATGACATTGTTTCAGCACACACGCCAAGAGAATGAAGACCAATGTCTTGTTTCCTCCTTTGTTAACACTGGCAGCAAAGGCCAAAGAATTCTTTGTGCCAGCATCCACTAAAACAAAAGCTGGCTTAATTTTGCAAGGTCTTTTACTTAGATCTCATTAGTTTTTTTGTTTCTCTTTCTCTCCCTTCCCACCCCCAACTTGCATTAAAGTCCATGCCTCTCTCTCAAGTTTATCAGAGTCAGAGTCCCAGGAGGGAACTCATGGCTGGTCAGGCTGGCTACAGGGAGAGATTATTTTGTTTGGAGAATGTTTGTGTTTCACCACAAAAATGAGTGACTATTTTCCTTTGCTCTAAACAAAAGAAGATCCATTTGGCTTGCATAACTCTGGCCATCTGATGCCTTCCTGGAAGACTTACATAGGGAAACCAAACAAAACAACACTTCTCATCTGCTGTTGCATCTCTATCTGCAGGATGCATTTGACAGAATGCTGCTTTTCTTGTCTGCTCCAGAAAAAAACTCACTGTATTCCTATGCAGTAAGAGATGGGTCTGATTGCTCCCAAACTCTAGAGCTCGTGCCAAAATGTGACTGTTGTGGCTTGGACTCCTCCCAGCTGCCATGCTGGTGAAGAGCTGGGGGAGGCGGGTGCCGGACGCTCCCGGTGTCGCTGCCTGGGGAGGGATTTCTGCTCCCACCCACCCCCCGCCGGCGGGTGCCACGGGACCACTCCGTCTCCTTTGCTGACCCTAGAGAAGGGATGCCCAGGCCTCGACCACACCTCGGACACCAGTCAAGGGTAGAGCTTGGAGATCTTCAGGAAATATTGCAATGCCTCACTTCTGAGAAAGTCTGCCCACAGAAGTGGGCACAGTTCACTCCTCACCCACACGCCTCCGATCACTCCACCAAGCACATCAAGGTTCTCACTGTATAAACCCCCTCACAGGACACAGCACAGACAGGCAACCAAAACCAGTCAGTCCTGAGGCATTAGCCATTCAGAGCAGTGTGCAGGAATGGAGAAGGGTCAAACACCTCACAAAAACCCATCTGCTTTCTGTGGATGCCCTTTCAACGAGGTACCTTCTACTACCCAAATTCCTGTTATTCACTATCCAGCATTCCTACACCTTTTAACAGCTATCTGTAGCCTGTAAAATCTATTATTCTGAGTATTAGTGAATATTTTCTCTTGCCATTAGCAGGGTGTAACCTTTTGGCAAGCCAGGACTTGGAGTACTTCCCAGCCATAATAATAAAAGCCTCAATATATGCATGATGTTTTAACATAGAAAAGCAAAACTCAAAAAAAGAGAGGCATAAAAAAACCCAAAGAAGGTGACCAGACAGACAGTGCTTTCTTTTAGCCATGTAACCAAGGGAGAATTAAGAGTCTTTGTTTTGGTTAATGGTTCATCCAAGAACTGACTGGCTTACTAAAGCTGACTGCAAAGATCCCCTACAGAAGGGTTTAGGGAAGCACAACCTGTTCAATATGACAAGTGTTGACTGTTGGACTCACAGCATCAGCAATATTTCAGTCAAGAAAATGCTGCAAAAGCTGTTTGCCACAGTTCCTGTATATTATGGACTAAAAGTCTCCTTTTGTTCTGCCTGTGTTTATGATCTGCATTCATCTACATCTCAGAAAACGCTCTGACCTGGTCTTCTGTCCATGCAGGAGAGGAGACTCTGCCCTATGAGACTTTGCTGCCAGATTGGGGTGGGAGTCTGGCTGCTCTCACATGAGTCCCTGTGCTAAGAAGCCTGCTCTCTGTACCCATCCCACTGGAGACTGGTAGCCCTGAGCACTTCCATTGTCCTTTTGTCACCTCAGGTGAGACAAAATGCCCCCTAATTCTCTACACACCTCCCAAAACACGATCTCTGTTCCTCCTGGCTGACTCCTCTTGTGTCACTCCTTGTGACAACTCTGCAAGCAAAGTTTTTATTTCAAGCCCATTTTGTGGGGACAAAAGAATGTAGAAGGACACTGGAACACTCTCTGAGCTAGAGAAACTGCCTATGAGAAAGAGTCATAAATAAGAAATGTTTTGTTAATGCTGTAATGAAAACCACATTGAGCTCATGCTATAACTGCTCTGCTTGGTGCAGGGACACGTGAGCTCTGAATGCCAAAGCCATTCAGAGCAGATTCAGGGGACAGGGGGAAGGGACAGATAAGCACTGAGCAAAGACACCACACATCCACAACCACCTCTAGACTGAGAGGAGGAGTCTGGAAGGAATCACTTCTCCCTTTTAAAAGTTCCTACACCTCACTGTGTGGGAGGCCAGGAAAGCACTGGAGGGAAGAATGACCATTTCTCCTGTTTTCATATTCCTGATTTCCTTGTTCTTTATTGAGCCACCTTTCAGAACAGGATGCCAAGCTCACCTTGGTGTATGTTTTCACCTTGGAACAATTAGAGGCATAGGTTGTGTCCTTCACAGAGGTCACAGGCCTCAAAACACCTGAAGGAATTTGTAGAGTGATGGACATTCTCTAGTACCACAGTAGAAAGAGGGAAATCTACTGTAAGAGAACAAAAGGAAAAGATTCAGTGGAAGGCTAAAGTGACATGATCAAGTGGGAATATCAGGGATTAGAGTGGAACTGGAAAGCAAAACATTCCTGTGTTGAGTGACCAGGCTGCAAGGAAGTAAAGAAGATATCACAAGATAAGTACTGTGCTGCCAGGAAAAGAAAAGATGGGGAAAGTAGAGCAGCCTGCCAGGCTTTAAAAGCAGAGGACAATTTTTAGAAGGCATTTGTTGGGCAGTTTTGGGATGCAGTTCCCTATACAGCTCACTCTCTGCTGACGACTGGCAAAGTCCTGCTCCCACTGTCTTTTTCTTGTTTTCCCTCACTTCTGATACTCAGTGCTGGAAAAAATAATAAAAAATTCAGGCTAGTTTGTGCAAAGAATCAGTTTTGGCCAAGCATCCAGAGCATTCACTAGAATGCAGCAGGTCTAGCTCCACCTCTGCTGTTTCCTCACCAATCTTTCATCTCTACTCAGTTTTGAGCAGCCTAGGACAGAGCTCACCTCTATGCCCAGAACTATCTTTGCTGGATCCTGCACAATCTGGGCAGACAAAGGCATTTTAGCACCACAAAACAGTCATAAGTCACTGCACTGCATAATTTCTTTTAACTCTGTGCAGTCTGAAACCAATTCTCTCAGGTCCTGCTGCTGGCAGAAACACCCTGCTGTTGAACATGCATCTCATTACAGCTCTGCTCAGCCAAATATTCTTCATGGTTTTTACAGATGTTTCTTTTTATATTTTTTTTTTATCCCATAGCTATGAACATTATAAGTCAATGCTCTTCTCACCTGTCACTTTTCTCTGCCAATAATCCCAATAAAAATCTATTAGCTCATGCCCTTAACCTCAGCAAGTCCTAGCTGTGCTGGTCTGCATCTCCTCTGGGGTAAGCTTTCAGGAACTGCTGGCTTAGTATTATCTTTATAAATACCTCCCTCCCTGATATAATTGGAGGCTGAGAGGTTTCAAGCAAACAAAAACAGCTGAGCTATCCAATCTCCATAAGGTTTCCATAAAATTCTCATCTGGTTAACTCTTCTGTTAAACTGTTTGTCACCAAGTGCCAGAAAGGCACCCTGAGAACATAGGTTGGAGCTGCAGGCTCCAGTAAAGCCAAACACTGAGATACATTCTCACACAGAGCAACCTAAATTTACCAGAGCTTGTGCCTGTTTCCACCTGGAGAGATTTGGGTTTGAGAACATTGATGAGCAACTGCTGAGTTCCCTCAGTCAGGAATGGTTTGAACTCAGATGTTGAGTTTGTGGCCACTTGCTTCCAGGTCACTGCATCAAACAATCTAGGGCTGTGGAAAATGAACTGAGAAGTCTGGCTGCAGTGCCAAGGAGGATGAGCTCACTCTTCACCTGTGCATCCATTCAGGACACAATGAATGCATCAGGTCAGAAGGTGGGGAATATGTATGGTCCTTACCCTCAGTTTCCACAGCCATTTAGTGGACACAAGAAGGCCACTTCAAACAAAAAAGGCCCATGGGTTGCACTAAAATAAACTGATCTTTCCTGAAAGCCTCTGTGAAACTGTGATGCCAGACACCATAACAAATTACTCAGCAGCACACAAAAGAGAGGAAGGAGCCTTCCTCCTCACCCTCACCAGCACCAGGTCACAGTGCTAGGGAGTGAGGTAACCCTCACAAACAGTTCCTCCCATTGGCAGCACTGGATGCTTTTATGTCTCCATAGACAGGACACTGAACAGTGGAAAGCTGACAGATACATTCTTAGCTCTGCAAAGGCTTTAGGATGTTTCCAGGAATGAATGCCTTGCTCCAGAGCCAGCCAGCTCTGAAGAAGCTGAGCTGAGAAGCAATTGGGATACAAGGGCAGGTCAGAGCTAGCACAGCCTCAGGTAACAGAGGTTGCTTTCAAGCTAGTGACAAAGGAGCAAGTAGTCTTCTCTGGAGGAAAAAGTGGAAGAGCAAATCAGGTGCTGAAAAGACTTCACATAGGAAGGGAAAGAAGGACAGCACTAATATCACTCTCCTACCTCACAAAGCTGGCAGGAACAGTCACCACTGTTGCCTCCCATTCAGGCTCAGAGTCCTGCCCTGGACTCACGATGCAAAAGGGGACCATAAGAAGGACAACTGATGGAAGCAGAAATGGATGAAGAACAGGTGATCAGGAAAGGAGACCTGCACCAAATCTCTGCCTTCTGAAGAGGCTCCATAAACCTACAGGAAGGGTGTTAGGCTGGGTGTCAGGACATCCACGTGCTTGGCTGCGATGAGCTCACTTGGAGCAGCTCCCTTCAGTTCTGTAACTGCAGTTCCCTGAGGGTAAATCAGGGGTAGAAGAGTTTCCTTATTTCATATACAGCTTCCAATGTTTGGTCTCTTAAAGATACCCATCTATTTTAAATCTCCTAATAAAATTCTCTAATTAAGCCCAAGATCCAAGTTTCTTAGGCCTTCTGAATTCATGCTCAAGACCTTTGTGCTGCAGCTCTTGAAAGCAATTTATAGAAGAAATGGAAAGCAATTTTGGGAAACAGAGTAAGGATGTCCTTCCACTAAGGAAGGAACAAACTGAGCTCTTAACCCTTTCCACATGAGTTGCAAATCTGGCCTCCGGGGGGTCCTAAAACTGAACTGCTGCACACACTGACCCATCCAGTCTTGCTTTAGAGACCACCAACAGCACAAGTCTCTCAAAGGAATATCTGGTCTGAGGGATGTTAGGGACTTAAAACAAGGCCAGGCCAAGCTAGAGCAGGGTGACATGGGCACCCCTACACCTCGCAGCTTCAGGGGCTTCTGTCATGCTGGGCAGCATTCTTCTAACTCCCATGACTTCCATTATATGTGTCCATGCATTTCTCTGTATAAAATACAATTGCTTCAAAAATCCTCCACCAACTTTTCTCTTGAACTGTGATATGGGATATTCATGTTTTAATGGAAAAAAGACAGCAGACCTGCAAACTAAGAATGTTACAAACCGTCAGCTTCCAGCAATCAAATCCAAAGGCTTTAGGGTTTGCAACACACAGCTTCAGACCTTGGGCAAAAAGAAAACTTCAAAATATTTGAACAGCAATTTCATTTCCATTGGAACCTTCCAGGTGGAGAGAGAACGGAAGGTTTCCTGTCGAGCTCTAGAGGACTACAGGAGACTTTATAACACATATGATCCAAACAGAACTTTGGATCTGAACTCCGGGAAGAAACCAAACATGGTTCAACACCTAAATGCAGCCATGATCCAGATTCAGAGAGTTCTGGTCCCATGTCAGGTTTGGTTCTGGTTTTATGGAGCTTAAAAGGAAAAGCATGAATCTGTGTCTGCCTCTGGTCTACTTTTTAGAAAGCCATCTCTCACTTTTCACACATCTCCAGCACTTACTCTGAGCTGCAAGAAGATGCCTCCAAAATAGTTAAGCATATACCCCCTCTCCAGTATCACAAAATACAGGTAAGGAGAGACCAGACCTGATCTCACCACATACTTAACCCAGCAAGGTACATGCAGATACTCTTTACAGGCAAGATTCTTGTCTTCTATATTTTGTCCCCTCTACTGCTCAAGGTTATCTCTTCACATCCCTGCTGTCACAGTCAAAGCACACAATACCACAAGCAGTTTTCCTCTTAAATCCCCTCTACCTCCTGCATTCTGCATATTAATAGCTCTTCACCCCATAATTATTGCCTTCACAGTCAACAGATTTGAAGATCCAAAATGTTTTTCAAGCAAGCTCCTGCTAGTGAAGAGTTAACTAAAAACCCCAACCCATCTTACTGAGAGTCAGGGTGTCGTTGATCCTGAAGCTGCAGAGCACCCTGTCCACGTTCCGGGCGTGTCGGAACCCATTGCCCCTCACCACAACCTGGAATGACTCTGTAGCAAAAGAGACAGTAGATTATTGATACAAAGCAGGGCAAAGAATGGTCATTTAGAAAAGGCACCTATTGTCAAATTTTTTCACTTGAGACCTCTTGAGATAAAACTTGCAGTTTAACCATTTTCAAGTTTAACAGTTGTTAAAAAATGAACTTCCACTCTCTCCCTACTCAATTTCAACCTGAGCCTCTAGAGGCAGAAAATAATATACAACAGGAACATCTTAACTGACCTGCAGTGAAAACACTGCTTCAGTGACACTGAGCTGTGCCTTCCCCAGGCTGCCATTTGAAATGGCAGAGAGTTTTCAGTAAGGAAAGGCAAAAGTATCTTTCCATGGAAAGGAAAAAGAATCAATCTTTCAGTGACCCGTAGCTTGGAGAAGTTCAAGTGCTGCTTTCCCAGGTAACTGCAAAATGGTATCTGTTGCCATGAGTTTTGTCACATCCTGCCCCACTCCCCTGTACCACAACTGTAAGTTCCTGGTTGGACTTGTTTCCATCCAGTGGCAGGAGATTTCACCAGCTGACCACACTTTTTAGTCTCTGGACAAGGCTATGACTGCAGAGCCTGTGGGCACTTCTCCAAGTCTTGCTCTTTGCTGTTCTTCCAGATCAACCCTTCAAGGTCACCATAAGCTGTGGCACAAGCAGAAGGCACCAAGGACAATGACCAGCAGCTGAGAGTTGAACTGAGTGGCCATTTTTGGAATAAGCAAGGCTGAGCAATGAGATCATATCCTCACAAGTCTTCCAGATCACTCTCTACTGTCCCTGGTTATTCCAGCTCCTTGAATGTAGTACTGGGAAAGGTTTACAAACTTCCTGCAGCCATCAGCATTAAGACTGCCTTGCAAGGAAAGCATCATTTTCAGACTTTCAGACTTTGAAACAGGGCCATAGTCCCAGAAAAGTTCTGGCAGAAGACACAGGGACACAAACTCTGCAATTCCCCATGGTGAAGGAAACAGCCCCCACAATTCCTGTTACTATCTAGGAGAGGCACTCAGATAATCCCTGCTGATTTTTCACTGGTGAATGTGGTTTGAACACAAAATGTTTCAGTGTCCAAGACAATGCAGCAGTAATTGCAGTGCACAGAATCACCACCCTCGTTTAAAACTCCCAGGAGCAGCAGGGAACTTAGGTTTTGCAAATTTGAAGTTTTTGCCTGCACTTTACAGTCCTCATCTTCTCTTCTCTCATTTCCCTTAAGGACTCACACACTGTACTTGTCAAAAAAAAAAAAAAAGGCAGGCAGATTTGCTCTGGAATCTGGGCTCTCTGCCAGGTCCCACTCATTTACAGCCAAGTTGCAAATCATCCCAGCACATCTAGCCAGGGAAGCTGCCTCACAGGCCCATTATGTGTTGTCCAAGAGCATTTGGGAAGAATGGAGAAGAGCTCTGTTCTGGAGTGTGGGGGCTGGTGAATACTTAAGAGAAATCACAGAAGTCTCAACTGCTGGAGAATCAGAGTTCAAATACAGTCAAAGAACAGCCTATCAGTGATGTCAGACTAACCACAGGGATCCTGTCTCTGTTTAGGATTGAAATGAACAGATACAGTGTGCACCTTGCATGTCTGCACTGATGCAACACCAAATCATCAAGAAACTGGCATTTCAGAACAATGTGTTGCTGCTGAAATTCATTATTCAGTGTCTGGGACCAGTCTGCAGTGCAAGAACAGTCTCAGGTAACATGGAGCCCTCATGCTCTCTCCTTCCATAAAGCAAAACCAACCCTCAGTATTCAAGGATGTGAACAGAAACAAGAAAACATGAGGTATCAGAGCTATACCTGCAAAGATTTATTTCAAAAAGATACTGATGCACATAACTTTCATATTTAATGGCATTTGCATTAGTCTCAGAGTCTCAAAGTGATTAAATCAGTTGCAATTTGAAAGCAATGGAGTATTTGCCTAAACTTGGGAATGAGGCCTTGAACTGAGCATCTGAAGGACTGTTGGCATTTTTCAAAGTGAACATTGCTCCTCTTGTGAGGTACTGGCCAGACTCCAATGGGAATGGTTTATATAAAACCCCTCTACATTTCCTCTCAGCTGGCTCTGCTGGATACAGCTGCACATCACCCCCACGTTCTCATCAGCACACATGAATGGGAGTGAGATAATGTTTAAGCAACTGACAAGCATATTAGAAAGTGTTAAAGACATTTATAAATGTTAGTTATAAGTCATCTTCAGGTTTATGACATCAGACAAGCACCATTTTTCATCACTTACATAAATATGTAAATATATTTTAAAAAATTAAATCTATAAGTTTGTAAAGTGTGTCTGAATGTTCATAAAATTTCACTTCCTTTCCCAAGCATTTATGGAACATCACTGCACTGTATCAGAGACTGTGCTGACAACAGCCATCTACCATGCTAAGGTAGACACAGCCCTGTTTTGGAGCCTTTTTTAACAAAGAAACTATTTTAAATGGCCAGCCAAAATAAGAAATGGATGACTAAGCACCATAATTCATGTCTGCTCCCAAACACTCTACTTAAGGAGTTGCTATGTGTAAAATAGACAGTTAGGATACACGTCATAAAATGTGAAGAATTTACAGAAAGCAGATGGAAGAGGCTGAAATGGCTCCTGGGCTCTCTGCAAAAAAAGGCTGGGCTCTGCTGAATGCAGAAATGCTTGCCAGGACTTTACAGCCACAGTGTGCAGAGCAGTCATATTAGAACAAGCACACAAAGAGTGCTATCAGCTGAGTGATATTTAAAATCTAACCCTCAGTCACTGTATCAACCCTAAAGGCTTAAGAAATGTTCAAAGAATTTTGGAAGCCTTTAGATCAAAATGTGCTCATCTGACTTTCTTGCTTAAGAAGCACTTCCCTCAACAGTCCTCTGAGATGGTGAATTTGCAAAACTCTAAACATAATCAAAGCCCTATTTTTTTATTTGGTTTGTAATTTTGCAGCATATCTACTTCAAGTTTGGCAGGGCCAAATAAGACAGATCGGTTTCACTGAAAATCAAATTAGGAAAGTGTCAAATTTGAGCCTTTTCTGTTAGAAAATTCCATTTGACATCATTTGGCAGAAATGGGAACTGTGATGGAAAAGAAATAGTTCCTTTTGCACTCTCCAGTAATTAGAGAGAGAACCATGTATTTTAGGCAACACTAACAACTAGGGCCTCAATTTCTACCTACCTCCTGCACATATGCTGGAAGGCTCTGCAGCCAGGATTTCTATACAGGATTTCTTCAGGATCTGAAAGACAGAGAGGAATGTAATGAAGCATCTCACACTTGCTTCTGTGAAAACACAAATGTGAAAGTGTAAGCGAGCGAGCACACTTGTTCTCACATCAGCACTGATGCAGCAGTGCACGTGGCCCTCCTGGCACACTCATCCCTCCTCAGCTTTTCCCTCACACCACCCACCCCGGCGCCACGGCTCTTCCACAGCAAGCTGCTGCTACAGGGGGAGGCCACGGGGGCCAACACTCTCCAGCATCTCAGCTTGCCTTTGCCCATGGTGGAAGTTACTAGGCAGACTACAGTCCCTAACAGCTCAGGTGTCCTTGTCTTCCTTTCACAAACACACCTCCCTCTCTAAAACTATTCTGGAGCCCAAAACTCCAAATAAAATGTCACCAGTTTAAGCTAAGCTGTTTATCTCTGTATTAAAATATCCTAGGAATATCTACATAGCCAACTCACAAGTCTCAGCACAGGGGTTCAGACTTCTCAAAGTCTGTAACCTGACCTAGGAGAGCACACCTGAGTGCATCCTCGAAGTTACACTGTGATTTCAAATCCAGATGTATGGGCTCTTGTTCTTTACTTAACCCAAACTTAAATTAAGCAGTATGTCTTTGTAGGAGCTGGCATCACCTTTGACAGTGTTCTACACGATGCTTCAGCACCAGGCTTGGCAGGCTGTTTGCAAGGCAGTGAGAAGCACGCTGGAGTTGGATGCTGTTTATTCCTGTACAGTGCTAAAATTGCTCAAGCTGTTCTTTGCGTGCAGGAGCCTTTCCACTGCTCTGAAGACCAACTCAAATTCTTCACTGCACACAGTCATGAAAATTGTGACAGTGTCTGCAAGCCCCATAGGCCCCTGCAAGAAGAGCAGGAGCAGCTCAGAGCTGTGGGTGTTCAGCACTGGGCTGAGCAGCCCCTAGACGAGGTAATATTGATCAAAATTTAGGTCAGCTCCAAGAGGCAAGTAAATGTCAGCCAAGCATCATGACTCAAATCCAACATGAAAATAATTTCCCCAACTTTAAATTGAAACATCTGTAAGGAAACAACAGCAACTCGTACAATAAATTCTCTACAAAAAAAAAAAGATAAACTAGTTTTTCTCCACAATCATGGCTCTTTGCCTCAAATACCTAATTGCATTAGGTACAGATAGAGCCATGATTTACATTTTAAAACTTCTAAACAAAAGTTTGAGTTACTCAGAAGCAGGGCCAGTAGAGACTGAAAGAGTACCAAAGGACTGAAGGAACCAGGACTGTCTGAGCTGCTGGCAGCCTGACAAGCGAGGAGAAAGAAGATTTGCAGGAAACAAGTTTATACAGGAACTGTCAAATGGAAAAAAAAAGAGAAAGTCAACAGTTGAGAACTGAACTGAAAAGCACTAGAAGAATTTGAAAGACAGAACAAGGAAAACACACAAAAAAAATTAAAGATGACGGTAAGAACAGTCTTCCAAAGTTATCTACCTGTAGCCATCCATCCATCCACCCATCCATCTCCTGTCTGTCCTCTGTTACCCACCCCTTCCTCATTCCAGGTTCTGCTTCTCTGAAGATACAGCATTTTTCTCCCAGAGTGGCTGCTGGGCCTGATGAGCACAACTAAGAGTCTTCCCAAGTATTTTTCCTCTCCACTGAAAAATGTCTACTTTAAGAAGAGAATCTTTTTACATTTTTCAGATTCCTCCTTAGGTTGTTCCCCTCTCACTCAACCTCTCCAAAAGTTTTAATAGATATATTTCTTCCCCCTTTTCCTTTCAGCAGTGAAGTGAAAAAGAAGTAGACAAACAAGTTGGAGAACAAATGCATGAAAAACACAGTCAATACTTTCATTTTTCAAAAAATAAAGCAAAGCCTCCCATGATTAAGTTTCAAATTCCTGACTTCTGTTCAGTCATTTGCAAACACTCATGCTGTAAGCCAGCTTGGATGGGGGAGTGGAATGGCAGGTGTCTCACTTAGATGATGCAGAGCTCCCTTGCAGTCCCCAGCCCAGTTACGTGACTAGGAAAGCTGGCCTTGATGGCTCTCTGCAGTGCCAACTGTAATATTTATTTTGATTTAGAAGAATCCTAAGTTTCCAATGCTCCAAGCACCCACCCTAGCTTAAGGTGAAAATCAGGCAGCAGTAACACTGCAAAAGAATTCCTTTATGTGTCTTCAACAACAACAACAAAACCCAAACCAAACAAAAAAAAAAAAATTCAAAAAGGACTTAAACATATTCATTGTAGAAGATTTCATCAGCTCTTCTGTTCTCTTATTCCCCAGGGACTGCACAGCATTGTGTGGGCTGTAGGTGCACTGGGTTCACTGCAGGCTGGCTCCCCAGGAGGGCACGATAACGTGCACGATGGTGATGGAATCCCAGCTGAGCCTGCACACCACATGGAGGAACTGGCTCCACATCCTCATGCTGCAGGAGAACTGCAAACAGGGCTGGGCTGTTTGGTAACTGACTGCAGGCCTCAAGGCAGCTTGCCCCAGCAACCATGCAGGAAAGTATTTGAAGCACGTGCTTACTCTTGGTGAGAAGCAACCCCCTGTCTTCAGCAGCACTCGCTCAGTGACCGAGCTGAGGCTCCCAGGTGGGTGTCCTGTGGAACTCTATGCTCCAGCCTCACACAGGCTCCTGGGAGGATCTCTTGTTACTATTTGTTGACATGTATATTACAGCAATGCATGCTGTATTTGTCACAGTTCTCTCTGCTGGGACAGAACCATGTGGAGCACTACCTGTGACTAATTTAGCTTTCTGCCAGCCAATGTGCTAGAGGCCAAGAGCCAGGAGGGGCTCTGCAGGTCACCTGGGCACTTGAGAAACAAAGGGAAGAAGGGGAGAGAAATTCTGCAGCTGCTGGAAGCTTTCCTCTGGTATTCTTGTCCACAAGCATACAGACAGATTACTTCATGGCAGCAGCTGCATATTTCTTACAATTTTTATTTTTTTTTTTCAAATTTGGAAACTCTAATTAACAAGCAGGATGGTGAAGTTTAATAGAAGGTTATTGCCTACTCAGTGCTGGTGTGAATGACCCACAGTCTGAGGCTACGTACTCAGCATCAAGCTCTATCATATTATTAAATAACAAAGTCTGTTGCCAATTACAGAGCAGTAATTTATTTATGAAGTGTTTCCTGGCCAGTAATACCTGCATGAGCTAAGTAAAATAAATATATTTAAGTCCTTTTTAAAGATGCATTTGGGGGAAGAAAGAAGTGTGATCATACACCACTAAAAGTAACAAGAAACACTATACAGCTGAGACTCCTGTGGCTGACTATCTCTTTGGCCTGTGTAGAAAGTCTGGGTCTGACAGGAGACAGACTCAGAATACCTGTGTGGAGCTCCCACCCTCAGTCTCTGGAGATCCTCACCCTCCTTCCAGGCTGCAGCAGCTTGCTGACCCCAGGCAGCGTCTGTGGACAGCTCAGGCTGCACCTCAGCAGTAAGGCAGACAGTGGGACTGGACATTTTGTGCACACTGGAGGTTTTGCACATACAGGATGTATCTTTCTAAGGAAGTAACTTTCTCTCACCTCTCCCCCCATTCGTGGAGTCTCAGCCCCTTTCCCTGCACCAGGGAACAGAGAGTTTATCTGTCAGCCAGTGAAGCTTGCACAGCTCGCTCAGGATGAGTGCATCAAAGCACCTGCATCTCTCTTGCTTTGTCTGTTAGATGCTGACATCAGGCTCTCACAAAAGTTACCGTGCTACACATATCCAGCACTGCAGCTTCCCCCAGAAAACCTTTGTCTAACGGAAGCATTTGGAGACAGTATAGTTCCAAGCTAAAATTTCTTGGGGTAAAGGAGAACACTGAACTGCCATATCCATTCTCAGAGCTGAGGCAAGACCTGAAAAATACTGAGGGCAGGTGGACACCATGGCAAGATGTTCAAAAGGGAGTACACAGAAAATAAAAGGGCAAATCATTTGTACAATTGATACAGATAGGAGCCAGTCCCACAAACTAGTTTATACTACTTCATTTCTTACACATCACAACTGCTTCATGAGGCTTCCTGCAGCTCACTCAGAGTCCTTTCTAAGGGACCCGTGATTACATCTCTAGTACCACTCTTGAACACATGGCAAGGGTCAGAGAGTATTCGTGTTCCACGAGACTGCTCTTTCAGTCAGTGTCTGTTGAAGGCTCAAAGCAAAGCAATGACAGGATCCTATCTTGACTTTCATGTTGCTTCATGGTCCGCTGCCTCCAGGACTCCTAACAAAGATGTACTGAGCAGTAGGTGAAGTTGAGCTTCAGGCTTTCCTTCTAAGAGTTGCTCTATTTGGACAGGGCTTTCCACAACCTGGTCTAGCAGGAGGTGTTCCTGCCATGGTAGGGGGGTTGGAATGAGGTGATCTTTAAGGTCGCTTCCAACCCAAATCATTCTATGATTCTATGATTTGCTTTTAATTGACAGGTTATGATCTGCAGAAATTTTTCACAGCAAAGGAAAATTTAATAAATTCATTCCCTCTGTTTCCCAGCTTGTATAAATCAGATATCTGTTTCTCTACCACATTTTCCCCTCCTAACAAAATCAAAATTCCCATTAAATGTGAGAAAAGCTGAAGTTTTAGAAGTTTTTTTTTCACATTGGGGGAGAAAAAGCAACTGATGTGCTATACAGAATGTTTCATTGAAACTCACAGGAGAGAAAGGATTGAAATCTACAGTGCACCAAAGACCTTCAGCTCCCACAGAGAACCATGTTTTAAAACATGACTTCAGCATGGGACTGTTTTCAGCCAATTTAAGCACAGCATCCAAAGCAGAGCCTGAATAGCTGGATGATGTTTAGCTGGAGACGGTTCTTCCCCGAAACTACTGAGCAGATCTTGCAGCTGCTGACCCAAACCTTGCTGGCTCCCACAGGAAAGGAAGGGCAGGTGCACCACAACATTTGCAGACCCACCACCCTGAATATCTTTGCTAAGCAGATAGAGAGGCCCAGCAGAGGCCAGCTTCAAGCTCCACCACTCCCAGCTCCCACCCTCTTTCTCATTCCAGAGGGAGGTCTAAGTCTACTGCCTCTGCACACACAGAGGGCTGAAAAGGACCCACACCCCAGGACAAGGGAAGCGTCGGGCCACCTCCGAAGCAACACAGGGCCAGCCCCACTGAATGACTGCAGATCAGAACAAACCCAGGTCTTCACATCTCTGTGGGGATTTCAAACACCGATCCCCCCAAGCTCACCATTTTATCCTTCACCCCCCTGTTATATCAACCAGCAGCTAGCAGCTGAAACAGTCCCCTCTGCACAGGGCTGAGCATCTTCTCTAGAACAACTCTTAGGACAGGAGTCTACAGATCCTTTGTTATTCTGCACAGTGACTAACGTCCTTCTTGCCATTCCTCATGGACACACCTCATTTCTACTCAACCTACTGCAATCACTCAAATGCAGGTGATCAGGTCACTGATTCATTACTGTACAGTGACACTTCCCTGTAATCCTCCTTTCTGTGGCTGGTAAATCTTGCACCAGTCAGCTGAAGCAGTTCCTTACTGGGTTCCTGAAGGCTGAAGTCTTCCCATTTTCTTCAGTGTAACTGGGAAGGGAGTCAGAACAGCTGCTGGAGTTCATCAAAAACAGCTGCACAGGGAATGCAGGGCTGGGGAGCAAACTAGGGTGGGTTTTTTTCCCTTGGTTTGTTGCTTTCTTAAATGACATGCAACACCTGATTGTCCAAGAGAATTGAGGCAGTAGCCCCACACTTGGAGAGTGCCAGGGAAACCAATAAGCAAGGGATTGTATTCCACCTCCATGTGAGAGCACTAGAGAAAACTGAGCCTGGGCTGAGGAAACAGTTTTTTTGGTACTACATGGTCAGAATATTGTGTACTACTGTAAACACAGAAACCTGAGACCCCCCTGGCAAACCCACCCTCCCTAGCTTCGAGTCGGATATTTCATCTGTTTTAGCACTGAAAAAGTCTATACCAAAATGAATAAAACATGTCATTAAAAAGATTACCCCTCCTTCCTTATAGCCACGGGAAGCAATCTGCTTAGAACAGGTATGGGATATGACTGGACAAAAGGAATAGAAATATACTGAAAGTTACCTGAAAAGCTACTGTTTCCTAGTGAACACATTTTACACTTACAATGCAAATGGCACCCACACCCTCTGACATATTGCATTTCCTACTCAGTCAGGGGAAGCATTGGTCTTTGGTGAGACAGTATGAGGCTGTCCAAGGTTTTAGAGCTAGAAAATAGGGATGCCTCATCCATATTTCCCACTAAGGACCATAGAGCCATTTGAATGACTTGTAGGCAAGCTATAAGAAAGGAATTTATCTCTGTGCCTCTCTCAGCTGAGCTGCTAGTGTCTGTCCCATCTGCTCAAGAAAAAGCCAGATCTGATATCCTGCATCCAGCCCCTAAAGGAAATGCCAGGAATGTATCAGTCTGAATCAGGAAACCTAGATCTGGAGGTGAAAAAAAAAAAAATAACCCACTTGTCAGGAGGCCAGATGCAGAAAGCAGAGTTTGGAGGATTTTGGCACACATTGCAGGATCCTGTCCCCCAGTCTAAAGAGGTGATGTTCTGGTTTGGGGTAGAACCGAACTGATTCTGTTCAGTGATTTTACTTTTCAGCTAAAGCTCTTCTAGCTAACTGCACTGTCTGAAGTTAGCAGCTTATCTTCACAGACAGTGTCTGCTTCTAGCAGTGGTCCCACTCCATGTTTAGAGTTACCACCAAGGATTGGTATGCAGACTAAGGTCACTGCTAAATCCTGTGTACCACACTGAGGGGGGGCAGAAAGTAAAAGCCATACCTGCAGGGAGCAGAGGACAGGACAGGTGACCCTAAGCTGACCAGTGAGGTATTCCATCCCATATCCCTCATATTCAGTATAAATCTCAAGGATCACAAGGGTTGAGCTCCTTCCCCTCTTTTGCTTCTTCTGCAATGGTTGGCATCTGAGGAGGACTCCATCCATTCTTCCTTTGATCCCGAGCCATATGTTCCTGAACTGAGCTCCAGAATCCAGCTCCTGTACCCAGTTGCTGTCTGCTGATGAGTCCAGCCTGGGACTTTTCCCCAGGGCCTGCTCCACAGCATTAGGGGTGATGGTGACATACTGCCATTGGGGGCAGTTGGGTTCAATACTGGTTTTGTATCTATTTGTATATATTCCATTTTTATTATTATTATTTTCACTAAAGCTCTTTTACTTTTCTAATTGATAAATGTCTCTACCTTATTCCCTTTCTCTTTCACTGTGAGGGGGAGAGTTGTTAACAGAGCATCTGTTACAGGTCTGGGGGCAGCCCTGACCCTAAACCGTGACAGGTGAGCAGTTCAGCACATCCCTCAGGACAGAAAGGATGCAAAACTAGCAGAGAGATGGAGGAGATCCAAGAGTGCCCTAATCCTTCATACAGAATGTGCTCCAACACAGCTCTGCTGTCCCTGTCTGTGGCAGCTCTCTTACAAAATGTCACCATGTGCCCAGTCCATTCAGTCAGCCACTTCCCATTCAAGGAGAGAGACATACAAAGATAATATTTGGGCTCAGATCTTCCTGTATTGTGTCCTATTGATGAACTCTACCCTGAAGTAGCAATACTAGTACAAACAAAGGCCAGTTTCTTTGGACTAAACATTTAAGTGATTTATTAGTGGTCAGCAGGTCCTTGTGAACGCAGGAAAACTAAACCTTCAACTGTGCAAGCAAACACAAACGAACATGCACACGTGCAAACACACAATTAAAAATACTTACAGAGTCTATGATCCCCTGCAGGGCTTCAAAACCATCATTCACTGGAAAGACATGATCTTTGCTGTCGGCGATTCTAGCCAGCTGACAGAGCGGTAAAGGGAAACAGAACAGAAATGCAAAGAATGAGATGGATTAGCCAGCAGGCAGCAAATTAAGTCTTCTCCAGACTCAATCAGAAAAGGCTTCCCTTAACTATGAAGACAAGACAGAATGTGGCTTTCACCAGTGCCCAGGCCTTAATGATCTTTATATTGCAACTACTGTGTCCCACATGGTTGTAAATCACCCAGCACAGTGACTCCACAACCAAAATAGGCCACAGCACCAACGTGACAGGCCACTAATGAAGGAAAACACTTCAGCACATACATCATTTAAACCAGGGAACTGATCAAAATGGTTCAGTATTGTCACATATAGAGAAGACTAATGCAAATTTTACGCCATCTGGAGATACAGCCCTGATTCACCTTTCCTGTCAGGGCAGGGATTTGACTGTTTGTCCTAGGCTCAACCATTAGAGAGCCAACAAAAAGAAAGCAGGGAGCAGTAACAGGATAAATTTTCCAAGGTGTGGGGGGAAGGGAGCAAAAAAAGCATTTGGAAGCCTACATGATGAGGAATATGGCCGTTCATGAGGGGGTGGTACGGTAAGGGGAACCAGGGCATCACCCATAAAAGGCTACACACAGCTTCACTTGTCACTAGCATGCTAAGGGTTAAGGCAAAAATATAATCCCAGTTCAGAAGTAATGAGTTCTCCATGCATCTGCTGGAGCAGAATCAAGTTTTAGTGCTGCAAGGCCAACGTTTGTTATAGTAATTCTCTCCCATGGCAGAGGCAGCACCAGCCCAGCAGGCCTCTGGCGTTTCCTGCAGCCTTCCAAATCCGAGGCAGCAGACTAGCCACACATTCCTCCCTAAACCCCATGGGCTCCACCTTCCCAGCTCCAGTCACTCAGAACTCCCACTTCTCAAGCAAAACACCAAACTGCCAACCTCCTGGTTTGCATCCAGAGAAACGCTCCAGGCAACCTTCTCCTGCCTGCTCTGAGAAGGGGAGACAAGCAGCTTACTGCTTGTTGGCCAAGATACAGCATCTTCTGCAAACCAGCATGTTTACAGTTTCCTCTACTCATTCCTCATAGTCTTCCTCCTAGTGCACACTGGGACTTCAGGCACAGTCATCTAATTCCAGACAATTTCTTCAGCACCTAAAGGACTTCAAGTAGCAGCTGTCTTCGAGGGCTGATACTTCAGCCCTAGTCTCTTTGCCATTTCTATTCCTTCCTTGCTTTTTGTATGACTTACTCTGGGTTACACTAGTCTCTGGTTTTGATTCAAAGGAGGTTGTTCTAAACCAAGATTATTTTGACTCTTTTTTGAATTGGTGTTTGAAGCTTTGTTAGAAAGCTCTAGTCAATAACTATGTCAGTGCACCACTTAAGGGCTGTATCAGTGTTTCACTCGTGTTAGAGAAAAAAAGGGGCTTAAATCCAACACCCAGACCAAGACACTTCAGGCAGTCACTTGAGACTATCAGTCAGTCAGCTGAAGGAGAGGAAGATCACTTGAGAAGTCTTGAGAAAGTGGTTCAGGACTGTGTGCATGTGTTCATTGTGACCCTTGCCAAGTCCCCGTGTAGACAGAGGTGCCTCACTCACCTGGGTCTCATTGAAGTCTTTCACACCAACACAATAGACTGTTGCTCCCAGGTCCCGTGACCGATTAGCCTGCAAGGAGGAAAGGCAGGATGGCATGAATGCAAACGTGATGGGATGCAGGTTTCTGAGCAGTCTTAATAATAAATTTAGTCTTTATCTGAAAACAAGCAATGGGGGGCTTGTCAGATAAGAGCTTTAAAAGTTTGCCTCCCTGATTCTGCAGAAACAGGTTTTATCTGCTACTAGAGCAGCTGTTGTTGGTTTAGTAAAGCAAAACCCAAGGTATTTAGTGTGTTCTGAAAGCCTAATTAGCTCACCTTCCTAGCTACTCCAACTTCCTAAAATTTGTTTGTCCAACAGATGTAAGACAGACTAAAACCACTTTCTTTTCATCATTCAGGACCCATCCTAGTATAATAGTAACTTAAAACATTTTTGTATTTTCTAATTTCAGACACATGTGCTTGGACTCACAACACACACAGGTGAGGAGACTTTTCATTCCAACTGCTACAAAACTCTAGCCCTCCCATTGGTTATCCAGCATCTCAAACTAATAAAAGGAGAACATCCACAGGTTTGATTTTTCCAGGGTATTTCACTGACATGCAGATGAAGTTGCATGTATTATTCAAAAAGAAACTGTTCTAAATGCTCTTGCCTATCTAAGTGTGAATTAAGTCATTGAATTGTATTTCATTAGAACAGGAACTCCTAATAAAAAATCCATTCCCAGAAAACATGGTAGCAAGTCAGATTAGATCAGAAAAATGTGGTAGTTCAAAATTGTTCAATAGCAAAAAGTTTCATAACAAAAGCATCAGTCTAGTTTTACACTGAGAATCTCAAGCTCAAACAACTGACAGAGTAAGAGCTGAGTTCAGGATCTCTGTTCTACCAGCTCACTAATTTTTCCTCCCCAAACCTAAACAAATATAACACTTTCAGACCTCTCAACTTGTTCATTCACCTCTATCAACAAACTTGTTTTTCTTGAAAATGTTTGATTTCAGAAAGGAAGAAAAAGAAATTAACAATAAGGAGGGGAGCTCTAGACTCATTATATTTGCTTGTGCTCTAGCAATGTTGCTTTTCTTCTACAAAATCATTCTTTTTGTTGTTATTTGATTTAAAGCTGCACTTTGGACAGATTGAAAGGAAAAATTCCATCTGTAGCACATTCATGTAACAATACCATCTTCCAAGCTTAAGTCGTCTTAATTTGTTTGACTGACAAGTGAAAATTGGTTCATCTCTCTGGAGATGACTGTCAAAAGGACATCAGTAGGAACACTATGCAGCAAAGTTTTCAAGTGCTCAACCTACTGTTTACCTAACATTTTGCATAATGTGGTGATTTAATGGGGGTGTTCAGAATACATGCTTGAGTCTTGGAAACATTTGTGGAAATTTGGGATTTGATCATCTGAAAGGCTTTCTGATGTGACAGAAGATTATAAGACAGTCATCTCCTTCTGAGGTCTTTACTTCTGTGAAAGAAGAAAATCAAAGTGATAAGATTCAAGGATTTCCCAGAATAATCCAGTAAATACTGAAACTTTTCAGCTGTGAACTATTCCCTCCTCTGAGTTCTTTTTTTAACAGGAAGTTGAAGCCTTCCTCCCTTCCCATGAACAGTCTCAGTTTTGATGAGTCAGAAGCATTGCTGCCATTAATGTTTATCTTTAAGATTCATGTCTAGAGAGCACCAAAGGGAAGTTTTGTTACCAGGGATAAAGGTTTTCCCTATCTTTTGCCTTCCAAGCAGCTAGCCAAGACATTTCACTTTCTCCCTGGATAAATATGTATGAGACACTTACCTCCCTCTCAGAGTAGAAAAAGAGGTCTTCATGGAGTTCTCCATCTGTCAATGCAATGATGACACTTGCAGTTCTGTAACCTAAACATACAAATTTCTTTAGTCCTTTGGTTTTGAGTTGTGTTTGTTAAACTAGCCTAGAAAACATCCTGCCAGTGACCTGTTAGCACACTTAAAGGGCCAGAAGCAGTGGATGTTAAGCCCATGTCCTTACCTCCCCCCAGCCAGCCAGTTTTTAGAAGACATGAATTTCCACACATTTTTCCCACTCAGGCACCTGCCTTCAATACCAGTTTTGTAACTGAAAGTGCTCTGCATGCACTTCTTGCACAGACATTGTTATGGAAAGATAAAGGCTAAATATATCAAGGCGTGTGAATTATCAATCTTTATATTTCTTCAACCATCTAGGGCATTTTCCTGTCGTTACAGGTAGCTGTGCCTTTAACAAGCTGTTCTGAAGAGGCAAAAGTCCAATCAGGCAGCTTCTTCAATTACTGCACAGCAGAGATCTGATACCTAATTTTATAAGTGCCACTTATAAATCCAATCCCCAATTTAAAATGATGTCAACAAGGAAGTCAAGTGCTTGACAAACAATAAGCAACATGCAGGGTCACTCATGTTGCAGATGCCTAACTCAAGTGTCTTTCTGTAGGAAATGGAGAACAGCAAGCACCCCTTGTACAAACCCAGGGACCCAAATGACCTTCAGAGGTGCCCTTCTGCCTCCATTGACTGCTGCAGGAGCCTTTGGACCTATTGCAGGTGGTATAAACCCTCCTTCCAGTGGAGCAAGGATAAACACAGAGAACTAATACAGACAAAACACACAGGCTGATATTCAGACTTGAGGACCTAGTTGTCCACTGCTTCTTCACATGGTGGCAAACTGCTTATATGTAATATGTCTATCAGCATGTAAAAACACAATCCATCCCAAATTGAATTGTTCTAGCTATCTGTTCCATTCTGCTGTAGTCATATTTTACAGGTGGGTCCCAAAGCTATGTGGATTTGGCCATTACTTCATTTTACTCCTGGGTGGCCCTGCCAACCTGCTAGGACTGGGCTTTGTATAGCTGGCTGCCTGTCTTTTGGTTTCCAAGAAGCAATGTTTAAATTTCTACTTCAGGCTTTGTAGTACACAAGTTTTTACATTAATTACAAGAAAGGAAAGGACAAACATTTTTGCAACTCTCTGCACTTACTAATGGATTTAATAACTGCTTATTGAAAAAAAACCACCTTTTACCTAACAGCATCTCCACATACATATTTCAGAAGAAAGGAGAAGTGGTCACCCGAGTCCTCAAGCAAAAAGAACAAAATGAGGTACCAGATAGTTTTGGTAAGAGTAGGCACCTTCAGACATCCTGGCTTCTCACTTTTGGCCTGAAACACATTCATTCCAGCTCTGTATCCTTCAAGTTCCACCTGTTCTTGTTCCTTTTCAGGAATAACTACTCTGAATAGCACTGCATTCCTGTAAAGGTAGGAACCACCCCTCCCCACCGCCCAACCCCGCCTGTTCCAGATGTGAAGTTTTATTTCAAATCTATTAAAATTATCAGTCAAAAAGAAAGATAAAAAAAAAAACCAGAAACATTCAATGGATCAAGAAAGTCTCTCACCGTGAACATTTTCATAGTAAATCTGTTCACTTGCCTGAAATTAAATCAGAAGATTATTAGCAATAAATGAATTATACTTTGTGGGCATCTACACAAGCACCAGAAAGAAAGATAAGATGACAGTGAGGATGTCAGGTTTGTAGTCTGCACATAAACTCTGCTTTCAGAGATACCTGCTTCATACAACCTGTTTCTTGCCTCTGGTTTTGGCTGCATTACTTCAAGGTCCAATCTAAAGCATAACTGAGACAAACCAACCCTAAGGCTGTTGGCCAACAATAATGTAGCCCCTCACAATTCTGCTATCTGCAGATCACCTTCACCTTCCTCCTTGAGAAACATCCCAGGTCCATTGCTAAATATTCTCCCACACCTCTAGATCAACTACTCTAATTGCAAACAAACCAGCTGCAGAGAGATGTTCTTGTGCTTTTGTCTCTATGCACAAGTGTATTCTGCAAGGTAGAAGGGCAAACACTTCAGTATGCACCAAATTTAAAAGTAGGCCACCCTGAACGTATCTGGCTTATGAATTTAATTTCTAATCTTAAATTTAGTTTTGTTGACTTCTCATGCAAAGTTTCTGAAGTCACCAAACTCTGGGATTTGGTTCTAGACTCCTAATCAAGAGCTAGCATCTCTGTCGGGTCACCTGAATGTCTGCCATGTGTTCACATGCATTTTCAATGGGCAGACAGTTCCACAGTCCTCTAAATGTATGTGCAGTGCAGAAGTGGGAAGGGAATCAGGAGTTCAGGCTTGGAGAAACTCCTGAGCTTGTAAAATATACATAAGGAGAAGACCAGAGCAGTCAGTAACTTCTGTGCTGCATTGTTTGTCCAGCAGTGAGAACAGGGCAGAGTCATGGCCTCAGTCAGCCCTCACTCAACTCCAACAAACCACTACAGCACCCATGCAGAACTCTAAACAGCTTTCTACCCTGCATAAACATGGTTCCAAGTGAGATTGCAATGTCAAACCCTTCTGCTTTGTCCCAAGCTGAAAAGGCAGCTCCCCCCCCTAAAAGGTGAAGGCAAAAAGAAGGGTAAGTAGGAGGATTTGCAGCTCCCTTGTACCAGCTCCCACAGAGTGTGCACACTTCAGTGTACCCATTCCATTAAAGGGAAATAGCCTCACTTACCTACTAGAGAATTGCTAAACAGATTAGTTTGTTTAATCTTTCCTGAGGAGCACCCAGACACAGGTTAGAGGTACATGCAGCTAGTTACCCTTTCAAATCCTTCGTGCATGTATGTGTCACCTCCTGGAAGGACTTTCTGCAGCTCTTCCAGACCCTGGCGTATCTGCTCCCTGAAATGAATGCAGATGCATTGTTAGATCCAAGGTCAAGTTTATTTGGAGCTGATATCCAGGTGAAGACATGCATAGCTGAACCAGATACAGAGAGGGGAAAAGGAGAGTTAACCCAATGTTTATGTAGGCTAAGGTGATGTCTGGGTAGATGCCTTTGAAATGCTGGGGTTTGAACCCCAAGCCCCTGAATTAAGGTTGACATAGGGGTGATTCCCACAGCCCTTCATCCAGAGGGTGAGTTTGCCTTAGAGCTTCCCCCCAGGGTGCGGCCGGCCCTGCAGGGAGAGCCAGAAGGGAAATGAGCCCCAGGGGTCCCGCAGGGAGCTGACAAAGGTCAGGGGTCTGCTTGGGGATAAAAGCCAGGACCACTGGCAGGGAGTCAGGAGTGTCTGTCTGTGGAGTGCACTCCCCAGAGCTGCCTGGTTCAGG